TTTTAGTATCACCTTCCTATAAACATTTGTTGACACATTTTAAAGTCTCATTCAAAGAGTAGGTAATTTTAAGGACCATTTAAAAAATAAGACCTTTTCATTTTGGCCAATTAGAAAGATTCCATGTTTCAAAGGGATTGCTAGTTCAGTCAATGGATTTGATTTCTTCATCTTTGTTAATTCAGAAATGTCTTTCATGGTTTGGCAAATCATTGGCCCAAACCCACCTTCAATGCCTAATAACATTTCCATATTATACTGAGGCAATATTAATTCTGTATTTTTACTTCTCAAGTAGGTATTGAAAAATATGTTTTGTTATAGACTAATATTGTATTACAGAGTTTGCTTTGATTGTATGATTGTTTTCTCAGAAAATGAAGTTCAGCTTATAGCCAGACTAATACTCAGGGATATATTTTAAATCAAAGCACAGATTTGACCATTAGCAAAACCAAAAATAGTAGCTTGGGGCACAACTTATCAAGAATGTATTTATGTCATGATAGCATGAATAAAGTATAATTTTATGATACTTTGATTCAGTGTTATGCTGCAACAGAACCAAAAACAAGATGGTAGTGTATGAAGCTGAATATATCTTTGTGCAGGAGGTGCATAACACAGTATGCATGAGTCAGGAGCTTGCTCGCAGATGTTTGTGGCTCTATCGAGCTTGTGCGCCAACTGGCAGCCAATCACAAGATCCTCCTTCACCTGGTGAAACAGAGCTCAGACGCAGACTGGAAGCGCTGCACAAAGATCTCAAGGTTGGATAATTCATATAACTTGTATTCTCAATGCTGACACACTTCTTTACACAGCATATTTATTTAGTTGTTGTCCTTCATTCTTAGACTCAACTAAATGAAAAACACATCCTGCGTATACCAGTTCGCTGGGTTGAAGGGGGTTTGAACCTTGATCTTCCAGATCATGCACAGTATGTTACAGAAGTCACGTCACAATTAGGTAAACATCTTCGGGCTCTGGTGGACAACATCATAGAAGAGGATCAAGCCAAAGTGAGTGCAACATATGATATTATACCAGACAGTAAAATTACTGCACATTTATCCTTTTGCTGTGCCATTTACATTCACTATATCCTGACACTAGTATACCAGTTATTTTGATTACTCTTCATGGGCTATGCTTTTGTATATTAAGTATTAAGTGTTGTATGGGACCACTATGCTACAAGCCAGAAGGTCATGGGTTCAAGTCCCGATGAGGTAATTGGATTTTTTTCAATTGACCTAATCCTTCCAGCTGCACTATGGCCCTGGGGTCGACTCAGCCTCTAACAGAAATGAATACCAGGAATATTCTTGAAATATTCCTGGGGGTAAAGGGCAGCCAGCGCATAGGGCTGACAAAGTTGCCGCCATCTGTGTGCCAATTGTCTAGAAAATATGGGAACCTCAACATCTCACAACCCTATGTGCCACCACGGCCTGTTACAGGGATACCTTAAATTACTTACTTTACTTACTTACTGTTGTATGGGACATTTGATTTTATTTAATTTTACTTTGTCTGATGTGGTAAAGATGTATGTCAATAAATGACATAAACTCTGTCCCAAGTGCAAACAATATATTATATGTTCTTGATCTTGCTCTCCTCTACACTACATGTTTTGGCCTCAAACGACCATCATCAGGTGTATACACTCACGTTGCTGTTACACTGCACTTAGTTAAAATTTAAAATTTATGTCATTTATCATGTAGAGTGCAACAGGATGGTTAAATATAATAATGTATGTCAATATTTATATGAGACAGATTCTCTCTTGCAGAGTGTGTTGAAGTCAAGTTATGGGATTGACAGCAGATTGTTCCAAGAGCTGATGGAGCAGACAAGTTTCTGTCAGAGAGCAGCACAGTGTAGCATCAACAGGGAGGCTGTTCTGCAGGAAATTAAAAGGTTTTCAGTTAGTTAATGTTTATGTAATTGTATTGACATCATCTTCATTCCTGAGGAATAAAGTCAAATTTCAGCTAATTACCTACAAGTTAGAACATGATTGTTCCACATATTTAACCTTCTGAGTCTGAAATGCATTTAAATAACACTTAAATATTCAATTCCTGGCAAAGCCAATAATTTAAGGCTGCTTACAGAAACAGTTGCTGTTTATTCTGATAATTATATGAAATCATAAATACACTCTTTGGGAAAAATTATGAGGATTTTAATTTTAAATTAGGTGGTATATATGGGATAACTATCATGCTTTAAAATGCTAAATTTGGAGAGAGCAAGCCAATTAATTGACTTCATGGAAAGAAGACATATAATTCACAATTAAGAGTTTCTTTTATCACTGGTTTCAGTTCGTAAGGTCTCAGTACAGTTATCCTAATTCTTAATTACTTTCAATTACTGTGTATGTTCACATTCTAAGAACAACTCTTGCTTTGTTGATAGAAAACACAAAATATGACTAAAATTAATAACAGTTGTGAATATAGAAATTATAGTATCAGGACCTGTATATCAGAGATGTAAAATGTTACAATATAATGCAGACAGTGTTGAAGATCACAAAGGATATTTTATAATGTTATAGCTGTGTTAGATAATCTCTCATTAGTTTTTACTTGTGCTTTTATTGCCCAGTATATTATGAACTTGTTTATTCTCTAACAGATTTGTGAAATTACAGTAGACTTCATTGTGTAAGTGCTTAGGAGTTGCTGTGTGAAGAACCAGCCATTTATTAGCAATTGTCAACATAATGATTAACAATGAAAATTATAAATCAGGTACACTTCTTATGTATGTTAACAGCTATGTGATAGGAGAATCCCAGCATCCATTAGTAGTACATGGGCCTCAAGGTTGTGGGAAAACCACTCTGATAGCCAGAGCTGCCCAGTGCTGTCACACATGGCAACCTGAAGCACTTCTTCTTCTAAGATTTGTTTCTGTATCAGCCCAGAGTCACACTACAGAGCAATTATTAAGAACTATTTTGGACCAATGCTCAGTTTTGACATATGGACAGCAATCATGGGCTGTACATGTAAGTAGCTATACAATGGATTATGCATGTCACTTGTATGAAGTGATCAAAAAGTCCTAAATATTTTCGTTGCTTGACAATGCCTTCACATCACCTACACAGCTTGTGGCATAGTGTTTAAGAACAAGATGACTCTACCTATACTCTGCCTTCATCTTTGATATTAAATTTTAAACATGACATTAGATAAAGTGAAAACTGCATAGGATTAAACTAGAAGCAATCACGACCTCTTTCACACTATTTATTTTTATAATGAGTGTTATTTTAATGCCTTCGTAACTGGACCTAAGATTAAAGAAAAATTAAATTACTGAAGCTCCTAATTTTGATATTATGCTTAAAACTAATATGAGATTACATAACATGAATGTTAATAGTATTGGTTCATCACAGTTTCAGAGAATTTTATGAAGAGAAACTGGTGAAATATTTGCAGTGAAAACTTGAAAAAATAAATATTTGAATTAACAAGATGTTCAGTTTTATAAAATGCTTTATATTTTCTATTGAGTCAGTGAGTGTGAATGGAAGTATATTGCAATTATTTACACATTATATGAATTATATTTCATTAGAATTTCAGTTTTAGAAATGGTGGCTGAATTCCCATAGCGCATATTTGCAATGTGTTTCAAACAATAACAATATTTGAGTGTACTCTTATGTACCAAAATTAAAGCTTTTGTTTAAGTTCAAAGTGACACTTGACTACTGTAGTGACATATCATTTTCAGTGCTACGTTGACAAAGTTCAGCATTCACTATTACAATATTTATACTTTTTGGAAATATAAATATTATTTATATCATAATGGGATCATGACTGAAAATTTAGTAATTTACAGTTTTCTGTTTGCTGTCATTAACTGGGGATATCTTATATGTTAATATGTTATATATATGCATTACATAAATTCTAAATGATAACATCTTATTATCTTTTAGAACATACAGAGCTATACAGAATTGCTGCCACGTTTGCTGGCCGCATCTTGTCTCCATCGTCCTCAGATCATCATGATTGATGGTATAGATCAGGTAAACTTACCTTTATAAACATATGCATAATATGAGGCTGGAGAAAATTACACAGTGAGAAGCATCATAACTTCTACTTCTCCCCAACTACAATTAGAAAGACCAAGTCAAGGAGGATGAGATGGGCAGGGCATGTAGTGTGAATGGGGGAGAAGAGGAATGCATATAAGATAGTGGTGGGAAAGCCAGCAGGAAAGAGACCACTTGGAATACCTGGATGTAGATGAGAAAATAATGTTAAAATTGTTCTTAGAGAAATAGGATGTGGGATATGGACTGCATTCATCTGGCTCAGGACACAGATCAGTGGCAGGTTCTTGTGTACATGGTAATGAACCTTTGGGTTCCTTGAAATTTTGGGAATTTCTTCAATGGCTGAGTGACTGTTGGCTTCTCAAGAACTCAGCTTCATGGAGTTAGTTAATTAGTGTGTTTGTTAGTTATTTCCATAACACACCTGGTGACCAGATTGTAACTAGGGAGTTTTAACTTGTAATGTTATTAGTACTGAAAAAATATTTATCTTTAGAGCTATGTCTGCTGAAATATTCTAGTAAAAGATGTTTAAAAATATACAGCTAAATTGTTTAGTGTTATTATTTATTATTTAAGAAATCATACGCTCTTTCTATGACCACCTCTGTGGTCTAGTGGTCAGAGTTCCTGGTTCGATTCCTGGGGCTACCAGATTTTCTGAGAAATAGTGGGTCTGGAAGAGGGTTCACTCAGCCTCGTGAGGATAATTGAGGAGGTACTTGAATGAAAAAATAGTGGCTGCGTTCTAGAAAACCGAGATTAATTGCTGTGGGAATCTGTTGCGCTGACCACATGACACCTTCTGTCCGTAAAAGTTGGCACTAAATTCTCCAACAACTGACAGTCGCTCGGTGGTATAGTTTTCTTGCGGACTAAAGCCACAGAGCTTTTTATGCTGTTTCTATTTTATTTTGAAATTTCTTCCCTCCTAGTATCATCATTTGTCATCCTTCCCAGTAACTGGCCTAGTTAGCCTGTTACAGCTATTACAAAACAAAATCTTTTCATCTTATTTGATGTTTTCCTTGTTGTTTCTGTTCAGTGATACTTCATAATTTTATTTTTATGGCCATAACTCATTTTAACAACACATTCTTAAATTTTTGTATATATTTATTGAGAAAAAAACAATCATTTATTTTTCTAATTTGTAACAGGTGAAGGAGTACGGAACACAGAATCTGGATTGGCTGCCAGTTAAACTCCCTGAAAACGTAAAAATTATTTTCTCAGTGGCTGATGACAGCCATGTATTTGCTGAGATTAAGAAGAAAATTACAGATTCAGCCGCTCTTATAGCAGTGAGTACTATCCTCTGTTACGTTCTCATGTATATATCAAGAAGCTGAAGGAATCATATTTTGTGGTTTAATGATCCATACACTAGCATAATCAGCCATGTCAGCATGAGTGCCTCTGAAAATGTAGCAAAATAAATTGTTTTGAATATTTCTCTTACCCCCATTCTATCTTACTTTTAATTTTGCAGAGCATTTCTCAGTTAATGAACTTATAGTCTTGTTTTCCAACTATAATGCAACAATATTAATTCAACAACATTAATTCCCACTTATTTCATTAAATGTTCGTTAAGTGTTTAAAATTTTGAATTAATGTTGTTCAATTAATATTGCTGAATATAAATGGAAAACAAGACTATAAGTCATACCTCAGTGCAACAGGATGCTGAAATATAATATTATGAATCAGTTAATGAATTTTGCTCTTATAGGAATTATAAAGTATGACAATAAAATTCACAGTACAGACTATAAATTCACGCTTACAGAAATTTAAGTTAAATATGAAAACTCTTCTAAACCCAGAATGCAGAAGAAAATAATAAATCCAGTTGAAAGAATTTCTTAAAATAAATTATTGTTTGTTAAGTCAAGGAGCTCAGCTCTGCAGGCTCAGAGTCCAATCGTAACATAGAGTATTGGAAAAATAAAAATCCAGGTTTCAAGAAGCTTGAATAAATAAACATATTTCATGAAAATGGTGACAACTAATAACAGAGAGACTGTTATTGGCAGATCCACCTACTAGCAGAATTAGTACTGCTTGCATTAAGAGTGTGCTGTGCTCTCTTGGTCACTGTGTCACCATAATCTCACACAGCATTATAATGATTTTATTGTATTTAGGGGAATTCATGTTTCACATGTGCATGTGTTGGTCATGTAGCATAATATGTAGCAGGCTGTTGGCTAGCCTCTACACATGCATCAGTGGCATAGGGAGATGGCTTGTAGTGTGGTTGCTATTTTCTAGTAAGCGAAGTTAAAATTTTTAAGTTTTTTAATGATTATTTTTATGTACCTTTTATATTTGTGATGTCTAAGAAGCTGTGTTTTTGTTACAACTGTGGACCACAGGAGTGTCTTTAGAAAAACCTCCACTTGCTGCAGGGAACTAAACAACAAATAACTATTACAGAATTTCACAAGATACATACATTTAGAGCACATTCTTTGTGTGTCAGAGGGGTTGATTGATTGATTGATTGATTGATTGATTGATTTATTTAACATCCATAACTGTTACATTATGTACAATTGGACAAGTCAGTTTTTAAAAAAATATATGAGATTAAACATCACATCAAATGACTAATAATATAAAAAACCATAGAAAAATAACATAATAAGTCCTTTAAATATGATAAAACAGTGGATGAGTATAATAAGGCAACAAAAGCTAAACTATAAATTACATGCAATAGCTAAAATAAATTACCTAAGTATCTTTGTTCTATTATTAAGCTAATTCTTGTAAAAATATTCTTGAAGGGAATAAAAAGCTTTGCACAACAAGTAATCCTTTAATTGACGCTTAAAAACCTTGAACTCTTGAATACTTCTTATTTGAGAGGGCAAGTTATTATACAATCTTATTCCCATGTTAATCACACTCCTTTTACAACGTGAGGTGTTACATGGTTGGACATACAAATTCTGCTTATGTACTGTGTTATAACCGTGCACATCTGAATACGAGATGTTATATATCCTATTTTTCCTTAAAAAACACAACGTCTCAAAGATATACAATGAAGTTAAGGTTAAAATTTTAAATTCACCAAAAAATTCTCTACACGATATCCTGTTATTGACTCTTTTGATCAGTCTTAAACATTTTTTTTGGATTTTAAATACAGTTTGAATGTCCTTTTGACCACAGCCCCAAAAAATAATACCATATCTCAATAAAGATTCAAATTTCGCAAAATACACACTTCTCAAAATTGGAAGACTGACCAAATCTCGTAAGGATTTGATAAGATAGATGGTTTTGTTTAATTTTTGAACTAAATGGTGAATGTGAGAGGACCAACTTAAATTCTCTGTAATATATATACCTAAAAATTTTAAATTAGCTGTGTATGTTATTTTCTTATTATTCAAATAAAGTTCCGGTTTATCAATTTGACGGGGACCACGTCCCTGAAAAAAGAGTGCTTTTGTCTTTTCAATATTAATAATAAGATGATTTACCGCGAACCAATTTTCTAATTGATGCATAGAAACTATAGTTTTATCATTTAAAGATTTAAGATTTTTGTCAATAATTAGTATATTGGTGTCATCTGCAAATAAAACAACTTTCGCTTCATGAACAGCTTTAGGCAAATCGTTTATAAACATTAAAAACAAAAGAGGTCCCAGAACCGAACCCTGAGGAACACCGTACTTTATTTCCTTACACGAAGAGGAGAATGATTTTTGATTTGGAGACTTGGCATCAACATGGTCAATTTCTACAAACTGGGATCTACCCGTAAGATATGATCTCATCAAAGAGAGTGAAATTCCTCTAAACCCATAAAGTTCCAATTTAGCCAACAGTAATTTGTGGTTTATCACATCAAAAGCCTTGGAAAGATCCAAAAAAATACCCAAAGCAAAAAACTTATTGTCTAATGCTTTCTGAACATCCTCAATAAATGATTGCAGTGCTGTATGAGTTGATTTATTTTGTCTAAAGCCATTTTGGGCATCAGATATCAAATTATGTTTATTTAAGAAATTCACTACTCTGTTATATATTAATGTTTCAAAGATTTTAGAAAAAACAGGTAATAGTGAAATAGGTCTATAATTAGATAATTCTTGAATTCGTCCTCTCTTATGAATAGGGCGAACTTTGGCAATCTTCATCTGATCAGGAAAAATTCCAGTACAAAGAGACAAATTAAAAATAAATGTTAAAGGTTTACAAATAGGTTGAATACTAAATTTTACTAACTTTTCTGGGATTTCGTCATAGCCCGCGGAGAGTTTACCTTTTAGTTTACTAGTCACACTAAGTACCTCATTTTCTGTAATTGGTACGAAAAAAATCGATTTAGAAAATGGAGTAACTTTACATGCTTGGTCATACTTAGGTTTTTGATCATTTAATTGGTTTACCATTTTTCCTGCAATTTCAACAAAAAAAGAATTAAAATGACCGGGAGTGAGGAGGGGGTCTAAGTCAGTCATGGAGTCCACATCCGAGGTTTTATAATTTATTTTAAAAGCTTTCCCTGATTCAAAGTTTATAATTTGCCATAACGCTTTAGAGCGGTTTGTTGATTTTTGGATGAATCTGTCGTTTTCTTTTTTACGAGCATCTGCTAACACGTTCTTATAAATTTTTTGATACTTTTTTATATAGTTCAAAGAATGCCTAGGAAGAATCAACTTTTTCTTTAAGTAACATAGAAATTGAAGCCGCTGTCTAGAAACTTTTATCCCTTTAGTAATCCATCTGGATTTGATGTTTTTTACATTTACAACTTTTTTTATATGAAACATGTTCAGGAAAAGGTCCCGATACTTGTCTAAAAAAAGACTATAAGCTTTGTTTACATCAGTTTGGTGATAAACCTCGTCCCAGACTTCCCTTGTTAACCTCAAGTTAAATAAGTCGATATTTCTTTTAGAGAAAACTCTTCTTTTGGTTTTTTCAGAGAAAGGAACATGAGAATTTTCTACAACTATGTTCATAACTAGCGCAAAATGATCCGAGTAGCCCATTTCGACAACATTTGTTGAAGTAGGATAAAATACTTTATTTCTAATCATTACATCAATTAGAGAACACGAGTTAGATGAAACTCTCGTAGGAGATTGAACCGTATTTAATAAGTTATTTGAGAGCAACAGATTTAATAGAGTCTTTTGAAGTGAACTCTTTTGGAGTAAGTTTATATTCCAGTCCCCACATATTACTAACAAGCAACCTTTGTTTAGTACCCTATTTATAGCCTCATCAATTTGATTGAAGAACATTTTTACGTCACTATTTGGAGATCTGTATACACAGATTACAATGATTTTAAATTTCACTATTTCAATAGCTGATATTTCCAGTGTTTTTTCTATACCAAAGTTTTTTAATGAAGAAACCTCTCTGATCTTAATTGATTTGGAAACAAATATACAAGAACCACCATGCTTATCATTTATTCTACAAAAACTATCCGCAAGTTTATATTGATCAATATTTAGATGCAAGATTTGATCACTTAAAAGCCAGTGCTCCGAAAAGCATAAAATATCTGGCTTTTTGGGCCACTGCGAGAGCAGTGCATTTAATTCTAGTAATTTGTTGCTCAGACTTTGTACATTGTGGTGAAGAATACTCAAATACTGAGTTAAATTTGAACTTTCTTTAGGGGGATGGAAAGTTGACTTAAATGGATGATCTACCATAAAAAATCTTTATTTCGTTTAAGGGGGTGTCGTCGAGTTCTCTTTGCTGGTGCGCCCGTCATTTCTTGGTTGACTGAGTCCTTATCAGTTCGTTGGATTTTTGACTCATCCCATGTACCATCTTGGAGAACACTCATATTTGAACAAGAACTATCTTGAGAGTCAAGAGCTGACTGAACATAATTCCACTCACTTGATTTAATACATTGATCATTAGTTCTTTGAATCTCTATGACTCCACTCACACTATCTTGAACAATCATCTTTTTTACACTTGCGCTTGCCTGAGAAACCAAAGCTGATTTCGCATAATCACATTCACTCGATTTAATACACTGAACACCTTTTTCATTAATCTTAGAGATACTATTACAATCCAGATCCTCTTCCTTCCACATTAAAGTAATAGGAGATTTTCTCTTTACTTTGAACAAATTACTTAAAACAGAGATGATGTCACTTGCTGTCTGCTCTTTACCATGAGTATTTAGGTGAAATCCCTGTCTTGTGAATAAATCCCTATCCATGTCCATGCTGACCTCAAAAAGATTTTGATGAGCCTTCTTTAATTTATCAAGCTTCCTATTAAAAGTTTTTACTTCTTCATTGATGCATGAATTAGATGCTAAGTCATATCTATGTGGAACTTTTAAAACAATAACATTTGTATGTTGATGACAACTTATAAACTCATGTAGTGAACGAATACCAATATTAGTTTCATTTCTCCCAACGTCATTTGTACCTCCCCAAATTATACAGGCGTCTTTCTTTGTTAATTCTTTCAAGTCCGAGCTTACACTATTTGTCAATTTTTCCAATGTTGATCCAGGTTTTATTACCCCTTGTATCTCAAATTCTTGATTTAACCTATGCTTCAACTCAGTTGCCAGTCCACGTGCATGGCTATCACCTAGTATTCTTATTTTATGTTTCACCCTTTTTGAATTATCACTATTTATATTTACATTTTTTACATTTTTCATTCCCAACTTCATACGGTATACTTCGATGTCCTGACCCGTCTTTGACAATACGTTATATTGAATTTTGGGGTTATGAACGTCAACTGACACTCTTTCCTCTTGCAAAATCTTGATTACTTGCTGTGCTGATTTTAACTCCATTGTAACCATTTTTAAATAGTCATTCAATTTATTACAATTTGCACAACAATTTAATTCACTTTCACAAGTATTTTGATCCAAATATCGAGAGACACAATCAACGACTACATCGATGGCCGCCATCATTCTGCTTGGTTATTTCTGATAACTGGTAGTTCATAATATTTCGGTAATTATTTTAACTGTTCTGAAATAATATTCCTGAAGATATCCCCATTTACATTCTTAGTCATTCCACAACACCAATTTGTCGCTCATTATCAGCGAAGCAGAGGAAGGTTGAACAGCATGTGAGTGTATCTTTTAACACCTCAGTTTCTTGGTTCCTTGTTGTCTCTTTGACCATATAAAATAAAAAATTTCATGTTAGCAATAAATATGAAGAAATTTTATCCACAGCATATCATTTGATTCCCTTCATTATCATGATCATATGGATTTATAACTCCTTTTGATAGTACAGTTCACACATTCTCTTTGTGATATCATAGCTGAGTTTGTTTTACTTGATGATTATTGTCCTCTGGGATGTGTATTCTGGTAGATGTTTATTAAAGCATTAGTAAACATGCAGCAAATTACATGGTGCCTCATCTTCATAGTCACTGCAATGAGAATGTCAAGTATTACTCTGTTTTATGGCTTAAGAACAGTCTATGAATGAATTCCTTATTTGTTCCAATTTTCTTTATGTGTTAGTATTCATTCATACATCTCAGAGACTTAATGTTCTGTCCTGTCACATTTGAAATATCTGACTAAGCTGCAAGGACTCTTTATCTTCGCATTTGCTTGAACAAAGCAATTTAGTATTACACATATGTTTTGTTGCAGATGCCTGCCCTAGGTAAGTTGGAGGCCGAGTCAATTCTGATGGCATCTGTGATGCAGTACAATCACAGTGTAAGCAGCCGTGTCCAGGACTGTGTACGCTCCTCAGTTCAAGATTGTACTTTCCCCCTGTATGTGAAGGTATTAATATTATGATGGAATTTAGTAAAATCTAGTCAGGGGTGTAGTTCTAAAAATAAAAATGCCAGGGCAGTTTGGTATGCAGATTCAGATTGAAGGAAGTTATGATATGAGATCATTTTCCATTTTACTTAATTACACATTTAAATGTGGAAGTGAATGACAAACATCTCAAACAGTATATATACTTAAAGAGGATGATGCTTCCACCTCAGAAGTGGGAAGTCAAATTAACTGTAAAAACTTTTGCTTTCACATCAGTGTTTAATTAACTGTAAAAACTTTTGCTTTCACATCAGTGTTTAAAATAAGTGCCAGAGTGGCACCCCAAAACACAAAGGGCCCCCTGGGTGCCACCCTGGCCCAACTACAACCCTGAGTCTAATTGTTTAGACTGAGATAAACAATTTCTTTTGCATGTGAATCATAACAGTGATTTGTGATCAGCTAAACACGAATACCATCTGACCCACTATCCACAGATTCAAAGATGTGTCCTCTAATAAATGATGATGAAGGCAGTGGAGGAATTGTTGTTGTTGTTGTTGTTGTTGTTATTATTATTGTAGCAAGGCCACCCAATGGAAGCAAGCAGCAATTGTTCCTGTTCTTAAAAAAGGGCAAAAGCACCTCTGTTAGTAACTATAGGGCTATATCCCTACTGAGTAATTTTTCTAAAATATTGTCGCATGTTGGGTGTATAACGCGACAAATAACTTCACGCCGTATTGAATATAGCGAATTTTATTTCACATTCGCTCTTACAATCACACAATTTCCAGATTCACAATTACTGCCATCGGCAGTATCACAAATGCTACACTGCAAATGCTGGTAACCCGTAAATGCTGCCTTGAGAACTAACTCGTAGGCTTGCTCAGAACTCACTCGGAACTAACCTTGAATAGCCTTCGCTGCTCCTTATGTAGCCTCATTCCGGACAACACAGAAAACGGCCACGTAATAGGCATCATTGTTGTCTAGTGCCGTGTTGCTAGCAACGCTGTCCAGAGTTGTTTACTGCTACCTAGCAACCACGGTATCCCTTGGTGATGTCACCGCTGTTGACTTGCGTTGCATAGCTACAAGGATGCTGGGACTCGGCTAACTTCGGCTCCACTTGGCTCACTTCGGCTCCGCTCGGCGCGTCAGCTCCTGGGGGGGGGCATCCAGCTAGCGCGACATGTCACACTGCTCCCTCCTTTCCCGAATAGCCTAATGGTGCACCCCTGTTCCTTTTCCTTCCCGTAGCTGTGTGTGCTTGCAGTGTCTCCTGTTTAGGTTACTCTTCTTGCAGCGACTATTCTTCATCCGTTACATCTGCTCCCCTCTTAAGACAAAGCTTGTCTCGAGCGGTTACCTTTTAACTTGCCAGAAGATCACATTCATCCATCGCTTTCTCCCATGGCACATTCACTCCCTCTGAGGAGGCTAGTTCTTCTATTTTACCGGCTCCTCTTCTGTGCCCTGCTTCCAGCAGAGGTTTGTGGCCCTTTGTTTTAATCGTTTCTATCCTCAAGCCCATTACAGCTTTTCGCTTGCTCTGGAGGAGTTAAAATTGCATACTTTACATACTAGAAGACATTGCCTCGACGCGCTCTTTCTTACTCAAGTTTTCTTTGGTTTGAAATTCTGCCCTTCTGTTCTGGAAATTGTTGGTCTCCAAGTTCCTGCTCGGTATATCAGAGACTTTGCATTGTTCAGTGTTTGCCCCTCATGTAAAAATTGTCCCTCTGCTAGATATGCAGCAGCTGCTAATATTGTTTACAGAGCTGTTGACGTATTCAGAGCCAGGAAAGTTCTCCCCAAACAATTTTTAAATATAGTATAGTTGTTAGTATTATTATTTGCATGAATATAAAAAACAATTGAACTGAATTATTATTATCCTCTCTGAATATTTATACTTTTCATTTCACAATTAAATATTTTTACATTTCATTTCTCAGTTCTCAATAACAACTTAGATTTATGTTAATGAAATTATTATTATTATTATTATTATTGTTGTTGTTTTTGTTGTTGTTTGTTTACTTGTCTGCATTAATGTGTTTTTCCTCCAGTACTTGCCTGTAATTTGTTTTTGACTTTATGTTGTGCTTGTCCATAATGCAATTACCCGTATGTACACTGCACTTGTGTGTAACTGGATTTCGCTGCTGCTGACTCGACACATAAATAATAAAGACTTGAACTGAATTGAATTGAATTATATCACGAGATAACCAAATACTTCGTTGGACAGGTACACACGTAAGTAGCCAGTTAATAATTTGCCTAATTATCTGTTAAGTTATGTTGGTAGTTGGCTCTTTCTTATTCTTGTGATGTGGCGAGACTTCGTCTCTTGGTACTTAAGCCTCAAGTATACCAGACCCGGAGAGTAGAAGAGAGACTGGATCAGCGGTGGAATGATAATTGGCAGAGAATTATCGAAGTACTGGGAGAAGAAACTG